TATATATATATAGTTTTTGATATTTTTTTTATTTCAGTTTTTGTTTTATTATTTATTTAGTTTTATTAGCAACATTTTTTTTGTAGTTTTAGTTTAATCCTGGTTTCCACAGTAGAGCAGTATTAGATGATTAGATGTAGAAATAGTTGAATGTTTGGCTTTAGAACACTGAAAGAAAGTAGTTGGACTGTGTTGAGAGACTGTACAGAGTGAATACTACATGCCCTTGAGTATGAGATCAATGGCGGTTGCTAACATAAACATTGCCCTTCTCTTAAAACATTATTACACTGACAAAAAAAAAAAAAACTTACTCACATGAATGCTCAAACATACTAAAAAACTAACTACATCATGTTCTGGCTGACATCACCAAGGCCACATTAATAGAAAAAATATATATATCATATTTCACGAACATCCTGTTTCACCCAGAAATACATCACCGAATGGAAGTAAAATGGGAATGTTGTTTTATGTTGACTTTAATGTTACGGCTGAGAGGGTCAGTTAATGCAAACTATTGAAATCCCTCTTTTTTATGTTTAGATCCAGCCGGTGGTATCACGAAGTACTTTAGCCACCATCCCGGCCGGAGTGACCCGAGAAGAAGAGAGTGGCCGTGCACACAGCACAAAGAAAGGAGCATTCCATGAGATCTTCAACCTACCTGAGATTGAGAGACCTCTGCCCGGTGAGACATCTCTTAGACTTGCTTCTTGTCTCATGAGGCCTTGCATACCGAAAGAAAACAGTACTTAATGGAAAAAAGGAAACAGACTTAAGTTGGACACGCCAAACAGATTTTTACTCGCTTCTCTTTTCACTTTTTTTTAACGGCGTCTTCTCTTGCAGTATGTGAGAATGGATGGAGATGCTGCCTGATAAACAGAGACAGGAAGATGCCGACTGACTACATTCGCAATGGGATGCTCTACGTCACTGAGAAGTAAGAAACATTTGCTCTTTAAGCTGGCAACTCTTTTCACTCTCTTTCATGCTATTATGAATAATTGTCCACATTTTTGTACATCAACATTTGAAGTCGCAGTATAATTACAATTGGTTGTCCATCCAACAGCTACCTGTGTTTTGAGAGCTCCAGTTCAAGATCAGGGTCTTCAAAGAAGAACAAAGTCATCAAACTGGTGGACATCACAGATATCCAGAAGGTATGTACAGTGCTGCTATTTTCAACTAAAATGAAAAACGACTAAAAATCATTTTCGGTAATTGAAATAAAACTGAAAGTCTAAACTTACACTTGAAATAAAGCTAAACAGAAAAACAAACTAACACTTTAAATAAAAAACGTAACAAATGATAGAAATAAAAACGAATTCAAAACATTAATAAATATAATATTTATTATAAACAAATAAATAAAATCATTTGCCTAATCATCATACACACACACATGTAGAGACCACTTCAGACTTTCCTTTTCCTAGGCACAAATATTCTTGTTCTAGATGTTGTTCAGACAGCCACATGATGTCTAGTGGCCAAGTGTTCTTGTTCAGAAAAAGCAGTAGCTTTTTCCAATTTTTCTTAACTTTATAGACCTTTGACCATTTATCCTTCACTCACTTATTGGATATGAGCACTATGCCTTTTCAGTAGGTGGCAGCATTGCATCACGGACTGCAGCATGTACCTCACATAAAAAGGACATTTTGATTAAATATTCATACATTTTTGGAGTTTCTAAATTAAACCTTTATGTTTTACATTCTGAATTTGGCAGATGTTTTTTTTATACTGAATTTGGCAGATTATATTTTTTTTTATATATAATTTATAATATATAATTATATATATAATTATTTTATATAATAATTATATAATTATTTTATATAATAATAATTCACATTTTATTAGTTTTTGCTTTCCCTGGGAATCAAACTCATGACCTAGGTGTTGCTAGCGCCATACTCTACTTTTTGTGCTACAGGAAGGCTCGTTATCATTTTATACAATTATAACAGCTATAAATATGATCAAATTGATTTGCAAATATTCATATTGTTTTTTCCATTATAAATTCTCATCCTTTATAGCCGGAATACACTGGATGCCTTTTGTTCAGATTTGCAGTTTGGAACAACAAAAACTGCAGATTGTCCAGACTGTGTCCAGACTGAAAACCTGCCAAAAATCTGGGCACAAGTTTTTTTATTGGTCTTATGAAGTATTCTAATTTGTTGAGATAGTGAATTGGTGGGTTTTTGTTAAATGTGAGCCAAAATCATCACAATTAAAAGAACCAAAGACTTAAACTACTTCAGTCTGTGTGCATTGAATTTATTTAATACACGAGTTTTACAATTTGAGTTGAATTACTGAAATAAATTAACTTTTCCATGACATTCTAATTTATTGAGATGCACCTGTATGTTCCAGCATTAAATGGACAGTTCACCAAAAAATGCAATTATCATTTACTCACCCTCAAGTTGTTCCAAACTATGAGTGTCTTTCTTCCGTTGAACACAAAAGAAGATATTTTGAAGAATGTTGGTAACCAAACAGTTGACAGTAGCCATTGACTTTCATACTATGCCATTTCTGTTGGTTTCCAACATTTTTCAAAATATCTTCTGTTTTCAACAGAAGAAAGAAACTACAGGTTTGGAACAACTCGAGGGTGATTAAATGATTAAAGAACTTTGATGAGAAAACAATGTCAAACTCCAATCTGAATGGCTGGTGTTCCACAATTTTCATGCTGGCGAAGTTGATCCAAATGGACAAATCTATATTGTATTCAAATGTTGTTGTTTTTTTCCATGTTACGGCATTTTGTTACCATAATATTTAATATATCATGTTAAATAGGTACTGAAAAAAGTTTTTTTTATGCTACTGTTACAGTTACAATAACGCTTTAATTTCTTTTTCCACAGTACAAAGTTTTATCAGTTCTGCCTGGGTCTGGAATGGGCATTTCTGTTGCCACCCCGTCAACACAGAAGGTAGTCAAGTCAAGTCAAATTGATTTATATAGCACTTTTCACAATACACATTGTTTCAAAGCAGCTTTACAAAAAATCATGATGATAATGTTTATGATATCTTAAGATCTTCATGCCTTATAGTGGCATTTAGCAGATTAGAGCTGGAAGATAATATAATTCACGTTTTGTGATTATGTAAGCAATCAAGCATTTTAGATATACTATATAGTTTACATCGCACCATGAGTGTACTGTACATATGCTGATAAAGTTAAAGTTCAAATCCATTTGGTGTCTTTTTACAGTGACATCACCCTCTGTCTTATTGCTTTGATTAATGACTTAGTAAAGTCTGACAGTGAATCACTATCTTGTTCTCACAGCCACTGGTCTTTGGTGCCATGATACACAGAGACGAGGCCTTTGAGACAATCTTTACCCAGTACATGAAGATCATGACTACAGCCAACCCTGAGACGTAACTCACCCTTTATCCTTCTGGAGGATTTCTCATTTGGAAAAAGACGAGACCAGTGTTTCCTGTCTGGTTAACTGGTTAACATCTCAAAGACTTTTCCAACCTGAGGGATGCAGACGGCTTCTCGTCATGCGACTGTGACCTTTTTGGCTTTTTAAAGATGAGCACACTGATCAGTGTACAGACATGTGTTTTCTACTCGTCTCTCAGTGATTCAGATTTCATGTCTGGTTTTATCCTGGAAGAGGTTTGTAAAATGAAGCCGATCACACAGGATGGTCTTTAACACTTTAAACACTGTATTAATAAGTATTTTTGCTCGAAAGAAAATTGACCACAATTTGTTCATTTGTTAGGTAAAACAAATTAAAATCTTAATTTAAGATATATTTCTCTGAAACAAAGTATTTTGCTTCTCAATTCCATTTACCTTTAAACAAAATTTTGATGTTTTATACTGGAGAACAAGACAAAAATACTGATTAATATAAAATGCAATTTTGCAGTAATTGCATTATAAGTTGTGTTCACACCTATAGTGTTTTGCAGCAACAAATGTACAGGAAATGTATTCATTTTTAATCAGAGTTTGAGCAATTTTAGGCAACATAAAGGTATAGTTCATGACTTGTGCACTATATTCGATCTTGACCTTCGCAGCTCTCAAATTAAATTTATGCTAGTGGTCAGCTGGAAAAAAAATACTGTTGTTTATTCAGGTCAGTTATAAAGTTAAACTTTGTGCAAACTTTCATTGAAAATGAATGTAAATTAACTTTGTCACTGCAAATCACTATCAGTGCAAATGACCTTTAAAACTGATAAACAAAGCCTTGTTTTTCTTTTCTTTTTTAACATTTGTTTACATTGTCACTGTGTGCGCAAATCGTACACACAAACTCACTTAAATCTCACCTCCCAGCAAAGTGTGCTTCATGTGTTTTTAGCAGAATATCTTCCCAAATTTAACTTTGGGAAAGTGTAGTTTCGAATGGTTTAAAATGCCTTTCTTTTATTTTTGTAATGTCATAGCAGTCAGCAGAATCATTGCTCATCTATTGATTCACTTACATTTGAAAACACTAGATATGAAGGGTGTCAAACTCATAAAACATTTGGTTGCACTTTATTTTGCAGTAGTATACTTAGAGTGTACTATAAATGTGTACTTAAACAAGAAAGTACTGAATAATATAAGGTAACTACTTGGGGTTAATATGAGTTAAATTAAGGTTTAGGGTTAGTACCTACAGTAGTTAATTATAATAAGTGCATAGTACATACATGGTGAACAGGACTGTAAAGTAAAGTGCTACTGAAGATTTTTACCAAGTATTTCATGTATGTCTGTCTTATTGATAAACACTAGTTACTTGTAAATGTTTTGTCACTTTAAACTGTTACTAAATGAAGTTAAATTCAGTACAGAACATCTTCTATTCACATAACACATTCACAAAGTGACTCTGAACTCATCTTGATGACAATCTTTACACTCTTTAGAAAAATCTTTAGGTGAATCTCATTGAGAAATATCCAAATCATATTTTACCCCAAAATCAAAAGAATGCTAAGTAACGACAATGAATCTCTCTCTCTCTCTCTCTGTATATATATATATATATATATATATATGAGAATTTAGGATAATGAAAGTATGTCACAATGAAAAAATATGCAAAATATTACTTGAAAATTTCGGTTTTTGTGAGATTCACCCTTTACGCTCATCCCGACACTAGAAACTAAAACATGTGATTAGTTTTAGTGTAATTAACATTGGGGGAAATGCTTGACATCCAGTCATAAATTATTTCAGAACAGCTAATGTATAAACTATTGAAAAACATCCTGGCACAAGACAGCAACACGTCTCCTTATTGGATGTAGTGGTAAATTCAGTACAATGGCAATAGCCTGTAATGCTGCGATTTACCATAAATTCCATCTTGGAATATAAGAGAAATCTAAATGAATCAATTTTACAGTTGTATTTATAATGGGCCACCCTTTTTGTTTGTTGCACAGATATTCTATAACATTAAGAATTAATTTAAATAAGTAGCTGAAAATTAACGTTCAGGGCCACATTTGTATCTAAGACATTCTAAAGATCACCATTTTATGAGAAAATACTGTTCATACTTTGTCTTCCCATACATCTGTTAGTTTACTCACACACATGAGAGACTGTTGAATGTTGCTCAGCTCCCAAAGATGAATCAGTGTATTTTACCAAAGGCCCTTTAGAGCTTTTGGAAGTCTCCCGCACGCTGGCTGTTGTGTTGGATGGCACTAATGAATGACACAGAATGAATCGGGTAACGTCTCGGTTACGTACGTAACCCTCGTTCCCTGGTGGAGGGAACGGAGACGTTATGTCAAACGACATATGTGGTCTCACTTGGGAGGCCAATCATCTAGTGGATTCTGCATGCCGAGCCACTGCCCGTGCCTACGGGTGTATAAGGCGACAGCGCGCATCCACTCATTAGGTTTTACGCTTAGGAGCCGAGAACGTGTCACGGCAACAGTGAACGGTTCAAGGTTGTGGCATGGGGACATAACATCTCTTGACAAGCCGTAGCGTGTCACAAAAGCTACGCTAAGGTCGTAACCTTCCCAAAGCCCCAGCTCAAATTCACTGACCTTGGTACCGAAGGGAACCAAATGGTGAGTACATCGCTGCTGGAGAAGGCCAAGCTGCTGTTCCGTCCACAAAAAAGTTTTTGGAAGAGATTTCAACTTTCAGTGAAAGATTGCTAAAAATATTTCCTATTTGTTCTTTTCAGCCGGCTCTACACGAAGGTTGTAAAACCTCGCGAAGGTGTTAGGTGTCACCCAGCCCGCAGCTTGGCAGATGTCTTCCAGAGAGGCGCCGTGCGCTACACATATGGAATTACCCATTGGGAATCAACCCATATGGACACCTAGCCCAGTACAGGGGCTGACCGGGACTCCGGGCATGCTAACAACAGTACTGGGCCTGGCGTCAGACTTCTCTGCCAAGTCTGACTGCCGGGGGTGCTGGAGGATGCTCGACCAGGGTTCGCCATCTGGGGAACTCTACTGGGAGAAGAAAGGTGCTCGCATCCCCGTGTGAGGGGGAATGGCGCAGCAAGCTCTTGATGGAAGTGAGCGCGATCAGGAGCGCTGTCTTAAGAGACAGGAACTTTAGCTCAACTGAATCAAGCGGCTCAAAGGGACCCCTCTGAAGTCCAGCCAGGACAATAGAGAGATCCCAGGAGGGTATTAGGGGTGTCCTAGGAGGATTCAACCTTCTGGTACCCCTCAGGAACCTAACAATCAGGTCATGCTTTCCCAGGGACCGGCCGTTCACTGCATCGTGATGTGCTGCAATGGCAGCGACATACACTTTCAAGGTGGAGGGTGACAGCCTACGCTCCAACCTTTCTTGCAGGAAAGAAAGCACGACTCTAATCGAGCATCTCCGGGGGTCTTCTCGGTGAGAAGAAAACCAATTCGTGAACAGACTCCCCTTCAAAGCATAAGCATGCCTCGTAGAGGGAGCTCTAGCCTGAGTGATAGTGTCTACCACCGCTGGTGGTAGGTCACCTAGGTCTGCTGCGTCCTGTCCAGAAGCCACACATGGAGGTTCCAGAGATCTGGACACGGGTGCCATATGGTGCCCAGCCCCTGAGAAAGGACGTCCCTCCTCAGGGGGATGCGTCAGGGAAGGGCTGTCACGAGGAGCATGAGTTGTGGGCCAGTAAGGCGCAACCAACAGGACCTGTTCCTCGTCCTCCCTGACCTTGCACAGTGTCTGTGCGAGCAGGCTCACTGGGGGAAACGCATACTTGCGTAGAGCCCAAGGCCAACTGTGTGCCAGTGCGTCCGTGCCCAGGGGGACCTGGGTCAGGGAATAGTACAACTGGCAGTGGGAGGACTCGTGGGAAGCAAACAGGTCCACCTGAGCTTCCCCGAATCGACTCCAGATCAGCTGAACCTTCTGGGGATGGAGTCGCCATTCTCCGGGGAAAGTGAGCTGTTGTGAGAGCGCGTCGGCCGCAGGATTGAGCTCCCTCGGAATGTGGACGTGCGCAGCGATTTGAGCCGCGTCTGACTCCAGAGGAAGAGATGGCGGGCGAGTGGAGACATGCGACGTGATCGTAGACTGCCCTGTCGGTTGATGTACAATACAGCCGCAGTGTTCGCCTGGCGAACTGAATCCCGTAGCCGAGTCAAACCGTCCAAATGAGCCAGCAGGACGGGTTGGGTAACGCAAGCCACACTCCCAAACTCGGTACGAGTGGCACCAAAGGGACAGTCGACGTACCCGCAGTTTTGCAGCGATGGGGAGTTGTGTTGGGTGGCCCAGAAGGCATCGCGTTCTGAGTCATCGCAGCAAAACTCCCTGTGTCCCCGGAGGGACTGGCCAGAGAAGCGTGGAGAGGTGTTGCGTCTCCGAACCACAACCTCTCGGCCACTGTCGATAGGGGGCGTCGTGGGTGAGAGTGAGGAAGCGGTGCATCACTCACTGTCAACCCACGAGCCTTGCAACCCGGAGGAAAAGGATACTGCTCTTTTTCTGACAATGGGGTCACTGCTGGCCATTGAGTCAGCAGCGGAACAAAAAGAAAAGGGAACAGAAGATTCTCCGCCCGGCCCTCCTCCTACGGAAGAGGGAGACGAGTGGCTTCTGGCCGTGAAAGGGGCCATCCACGACTTCGTCAACTCTTCATGCACCTCCAGGAAGAAAGGAACTGGGGCAGGACGCGGTTGTGAGCCGCGCTCCGCACCCAGAAACCAATCATCCAGCCGCGAGCGCTCAGGACTGGGCGGTGTAGTCACCTCCAGCCCGATGCTCACAGCTGCCTGGGCAAGCATGGCCGACAGCTCTGGGTCAGATTCGGCAGTGGCGACAACACCTGAGGGGGGCAGCCCCACCGAATCTTCATCCTCAGAGGCCGATAGCCCATCCCTTGATGCTGCAATCGACATATGATCCTCCAGCGGACCACCGAATGACACGCTGGGACCGCCGTGAGACGGCCCAGCAGAACCACTTGGCAGCCGCACAGGACATGCACTGCGGGAGGAGTGAGAGGTCTGTGGGGCGTGGCCCAGCGGAGAAGCTCTCACTGTTACCCTCAGATCTCCCAGAGCACTAGCCAGCGGCAGAGAAACCGGGACGGGTAGTGACAGAGTGGTCTGCTCCACTCCCCGTGAGGAGAGACGCGATTGCAGCGATGCCATAGTCATACGCCCACAATAGACGCATGAGAGCGCTGAAGACAGCGATCGTGGCCATCAACAGAGGGCAGGAAACGACCGCATCCAGAAGGACACGGACGAAACGGCATCTTGAAAAAGACACAAATCGTCCGTGATTTGCTATATTTGCTGAAAAACTGCTCTTTCAGTCGAAGCGCCCAGGGGAATCACTGCAGCAGGGAGACCGCTGTACTGCGCCGTAACACCAACCAGGAACAGCCCTCTTTCAACACAAAGATGAATTGGCTTTTTAGTGAAAAACATCAACTACTCGGCTCCGAAGCAAAAATCTAATGAGTGGATGCGCGCTGTCGCCTTATATACCCGTAGGCACGGGGAGTGGCTCGGCATGCAAAATCCACTAGCCAATTTTCATTGGCGTTTTCTCTTAAACTCAGAGATGATTGGCCTCCCAAATAAGACCCCATATGTCGTTCGACATAACTCGTAGTGACCGACAGATAGGGAACTAATAGTTTTGCCAAATGTTGTTACTTTAACTGCTCTTCTTTAACATTGTCTGTCTCAAACTGATGTTTACACAGGCTGGGTCTAAATACAGTCCAGACCAGTTTGATCCCTGCTCACCAGCCCAGCCCAGGGGTGTGAAAACTGGAATAATATAATTTCTGTTTTTTAGTGTTAACATCTTATGGTTTAGGGTACAAATGCTTTTAGAAAATGTATCCGCACTAAGAAATTAATTACAAATACATTAATACAGTACATGAGTGAACATTACCAGGTCATATTTCATTCAAATGTGAAAGAAAAAAAAATAGAAATGATAAAGATCTTGAATTATTTATACATTATGGTTATATTGTACTGCCTTAAATTTATGCTGATTTTAAATTATTATTATTATTATTTTTATTTATTTTTTTTGGATAATTGTTGATGACTAAAATTAGAGTAAAAAGTTCTAATCTCATGTGAGAATATATGCAATATATATATATATATATATATATATGTTTTTTTTTCTTTTAATTTGGTGGTGGAATATGACACAGACTTGTTCATGAGGTTCACACACACAATACCTATACGTTTTAAAAACAACAAAGTTACAGTAAAATGCTGTGTTGGGCTGTTTAACTAAGCATCAAAAGTCTTTGTGTATCTGGAGGTGCTCAAGTTGGCACTAGTTGATAAAGTATTTGTTAACTGTGTAAATGTTTGCTATTTTCATAATATTTTCACTGCAAAATAACATTTACAGAGTTCATCTGACAGACGTGAATTATTGTTATTATTTGTTATCTGTTTTTTTTTCTGACTGTCTGAAGACGAATGATTAAAAGGAATTTATATACAGAAGTAGAGTAATATAAGAAAAGTTCT